TTATCTCGTTTACTCAATCCATCCATTTAGAACTCTATTAGTAGCCTGAATACCATGAGCTCAAAGTCTTTAGCATTGTTTAATAACTTAGTTGTTTCGTTAACACAAGCTTGCTCTATGATTTAGTTACTCTTAACTGTTAAGTGTTCATGGGATATGACGCTAAAGTGACTGAGTAACTTCTGGAAAAAAACCATTGAATAAACCATCTGTATAATTTCTTTTACTGCGTTTTCCTATTCAATATAGAACGACACTACTTATCATATACATGGTTAAGTTGCAGTTTAATCAGTCTGAAAGGAACTTGTAATCTTGTAGGGCCAAAGAACTGTCACTGAACCCTAACCAAATTATCCGGCAGTCAGGTCACTAAATGTCGAACAGTCCACTGACCCTCCTCAAGGTCAAAAACAACTAACTCGTGTCAATTAATCACACATCATGGACTTGCCCATACTGTGGTGGTCACCATTTCTTCCTTGTACCAACTGTTACTGATATATTTCTATAATAACCTTCTTTGTGTTGTACGGCCATCAAACTAGCTATAGTAAGTGGATACGACGAAAGGGTAATCCATGTTAGGTTCTGACCACGAAGTGTGACTGCAAGGTTAGCTGGTTCGTTAAACCATCCCCGTCTAACTCGAATACGCCCCAATCATTCAACACAGATCATCTTTGTTGGTGATCTACAATCTCATATATATTTAGAAAAAGTAAATCGGCTTGAACCCTCAAACTAAACAGCTGATTACCCTGGTTATATTTGATAACCGAACCCTGATGTTTGCTACCATGAAACCGCTTCATTTCTGATATATGACGGGAAAATATTTTTTTAACTTCGGAACATTTTTACAGTTGTTGGATAATTTGATAAATTATAAACTTAAATATACTTTATATATTATGACGTTCAAATGTATAGGTTATCATATACTTAGTCCTTATGACTGTACTAGTGATGACAAAACAGGTTTCTAACATAACCTGACAAATCACTTGTCATAAACATATATTGAGTAGAATATAACGAGGTCCAATATTGGAATTAATAATAAAACACTGGACTTCAAATTTAGTTTCATTTGCAATAAATTAGTGTAAAATATTCGGAAATAACTGTAGGACAGTTGTAGACCTCATTTTTATGAACGTAAATGTTGACCCTATATCTACCAGTAAATACCCTTGTTTTTCAAATCCAGGTTTGAATGTCCGACAGTTGAATTGCTTGAGTCGTTAATACTTCTGTGTATGACACAACTATATAAATCAACGAGAAATTTAGTTCGCATAGTTGAACCAATACTGTGTTGAGTTCTATGCTGCATCTGTTTACAAAGTAATTTTTGCTCAATTATTACACAATAAACTGAAATGACCATTTCTGTCTGTCTCTGTCGACTTGATTTACTTTTCCTTATTTTTCAGATGAATACTTAAGTCCGAATATGCAGCCACCAGAAGAATACTTATCTCCAATATCCAGTGGATTTAGCGTAACCAATCCAGAGTACTTAATGGAAACATACGGACATCCACATCAATACCCAGAGCCAAATACATTAAAACAAAACACAAATCCTTCCAGCGATTCAAATTACCCGCTGGAATTGCAGGATAAAACAAACCAAAAGTAAACTCTGTTCTGCTGCTTGTTGTTATCGTATCTGTTGTTACTGTGGTTTTTCGAAGCAGTTACTTTTTGCCTAATTAAATACACTTTACAAACAAATTCTGCTAATAATATCTAATTTACTGTTAACACCTCTACTTGTCAACTTTCGTTTTTATTTACGTTTTACTTCCCGTTTTGTTTATATATGAAATTTCCTTGGTTTTTTTTTACATATTAGTGAGTGATCCTCACTAGAATTATAGATACAATCTTTCCGCTTTTTCCCAACCAGAATAGTGGAAAACAACGGACTATTCATTTTAAAATGATACAGCAGTGACACTGAATGTCTGTTATTTCCTTCTATTTTCATTTTATTATTTGTCATACTTACGAAAGCCAAATAAGGAATGATTAATGTGTAAACACTCCGGAAGTCAATGCACAAACATGTTCACTATGGAATTCGTATGCTTCGTTCGTCGTGATGATAGGTATTGACATTTTTGCAACAATTAAAGATAAAGTCAAAGATGAATGAAGAATAATACTGTAAGAAAAAGAGATGCATCTCAAATATTCATGTTCCCTCCTTCTTCCGTATTTTTAATTCCAGTTTATTGATTATATACAAACAGATACATACTGCTTGTTACTAGCATTTTTATCAAAGTATTACCTCATACCATTGCTTCCTGTGTATTTCGGGTAATTCTCTTCCCAAAAAGCATTCAATTTATCCTGAATTATAATTGCTTGCTTAACTATTGAATCACTAAAATTGTTTGTTGGATTGTTGTTTATGCATCATTCGTTGTTCCCAAGATAGGCAGAAACCAGAACAATGAGGATATGTATCGACATACCGCTTATTCGTAATAAGCACTGTTTGCAAACACTGCCTTATAAACCAAACATGTTTTAGATGCATTTATTGTCAGATTCGACGACCTTTTAATGTAAATAGACATCATTCTTTTCGTTGTCATTTGCATGCTGGTTCTTTTTTAAACAAATAATATGAATACTCTATCTATTTTACATTCAATTCACCATAAAAACAAATATTGAGACGATTGTTTTTGAAAACTACTACCTACTAAAATAATCCCAAGTAGCAAAACGAAGTTTGTTAAAATATTACGCTCAGGTAGGAATTTTCGATCAAAAATGACAATATACCTTACCCTTTGTCTGAGTTAGTTGTCACATAAAAGTAGTATCTATACTGAGTGAGGATCAGTTATCATACGAAAAAATCGTAATTGAAAGGGAAGCATGATTGTGAATGTGATGGTGAGAAAACTCTCAGTGGTTTCCAATTAAATTTTACTTACATACCAAACACCTAATTTAAGCTCATAGACGTTCGTTATACCATAGAATTTCTTAGTTATTCTCTAAATTAAAAAACGCTTGGACACGAAATAGTTCCATTATTTTAGACTTACCTATAACTAAGAAAACAAATGAGAGAGAACTTAGATGAAATAACTTATACTGTCTAGTTTGATGCCGTATCAAACAAACAACCTACAATTGCTCTAAGAATATCTAGGAACCCAAAAAAATTATTATAGGAGATAGATTGATCAACGACCAACGGAAATCCTTTTAGTTTCAGTTCCTAAAATCCTTCAAGCCAATAAATGTAATTAAAGCAGTTAGTAGGATAAAGAAGATAACGGATATTTCTTTCCTTAAAACATATTTTCGAGAATATTTTATTTATTAAGCTAGAAAAACTGAAGCCACACATTTTCCGAGAGAGATTATATTCCAAATAACAAGGTTAGATGGAAGTAGGAAGCACAGTAGAAAAAACGTTAGTATACTTATAGTTTTTAAATGAGAAGGTTCTAGTGTTCTCCAATTATCGACTGGCGGTGATTGGATAAGAATGAGCCAATCAGCGTGCGCCAAAGCAATCGTGCATTGAGCATGCTTTAACCCTATCTATGTCCCGCTAACACCCTTATTTTAACTCATCAGTTGGTAAATTAAAAGTAATCATGTTGCTTCATACATACTTTTGTTCGCATACAACTACACCTTTCGATGAAAATGGCTAACTAGAGTGTTTATAGTGCAGCTTTTTGTTTCAATCACCCAAATAAATTACATAGTTAAAAATCAATCTTGTTCAGGATAGTAGTACAACAAAGTATCCTGTTTGAATATATATATGGTTCATAAGCTAAATGGCTAAGCATATTAATCGATCCATTTACGTAAAAATGACAAACGTATGTCAAGTTACTTTCAATTTATTTCAAATATTTATTTTGATAGTGTTAACTATAGGGTTTTGTTTATATTTTCTTTAAAGTTTGATAAATTGTGTATAGAAGAATGATTCTATAAGTAATATATAGAAACAAATTTTCTAAAAAAAACTTATAATGTTTAGTTCATGTCTACAAAATAGGTTTTAAAGAACAGTTTCATCGAAACTCTCGACGGCTTTCATTTATTAAATAAAGCATTTTATTTGGAAATAAAACAACCAAACACTCATACCATCTACTCTGTGGATATCATTAATAAGTTATGTAATTTGTTTTTAAAAAAGACCATTGAGTAGAATCGATAACTGGAATCTGCTCTGAACTATTATTGAGGTTCCTAAATGCAAGGCAGCAACTTATAAAATTTAGGTTAAAGTAACAAACCATCCCAACACCAACTCATTCCGAACATCAGTGAACAACATTAACTGTAAATTGAGCCGTTATATATATATATATATATATATATATATATATATATATATATATATATATATAGACAAATAGCTAATTACAAACAGCTATCCAAAAAAACATGTAATTATAAAACCAGAGAATTTCACAAGGTAAATTTTGCGACGTTTACTTCCCACAATAACTAGATACTCATCAGTAATAAGTACAAGGTTAATAATCTCCAACAGCTGATAATACTTAAAATATATTCGATTCTAAACTACTTCCTAAAGTAGTCGAATTTCTCTACACTTGTGAGACAGTTATATGACTGTATACCAGTAAAATAAAAGTGAATCACATGAAATGATACTACGTCGTTATTTATTGATAAATATATCTCAATTCGAACGTATTAGATTTGAATTAAAAAAAACTTAGTAAAATTATCGTATTGATAAACTGGTAAAATAAATAAACAAGCGCGTTAGTAGCATATCGATAAAGTAAAAGATATGAGAAAGTAAAATGAGTATACTTTATCGGACTTTAGGCAGTAGGGTTAATGAAACCATTGACTAAATATGGTGTACGAATTTTCTACAAATACAAAATAATCAAAGCAAAACAAAAAACAAGATTAAAATCAAAATGATAAACCAATAGAAAAAGACTATAAATTTTGTTCTAGAAATATACGAAATAAAGAAATAGTTATGGCGAATGCACTGAATATATATATATATATATCCTTTGTATGCAATGATATGGTAGGAAGTGATGTTGTGAAATCACTGAAATCAAGCTAGTCCACATGATATGAATGGTACACATAAGCGGTGATAACAAGTGTTGAATAAAACAAACTATTTTTTGTAGGATGAACTAAGACTGGAAAAAACCATCGTCCACTCCAACACATATATCTGAGAAGAAGCTGGGATCAAATAACGCTAGATTTGTTTGTGTTTCAACACTGTTTAACCACAATTCTATATCTTCATCAATTGTTTGAGTTTGATTGTGAGTGAAATCTACATTGGCTGACCAATCATGCTGTGTTGTTGTTTCCACAGTGTTCAAATTGCAATACTGTGAATTATCACAGGAAGTTGGTACAGTATTAGTTTGTACAGAAGTTTTGATAGATGATGTAGATGAGCATTGCAACATTGGATCCGTCGAACCAGGTAAATCATAACCAGAATAATTTATTACATTAACACAAGCCCGAGTACCAGAATCTGTTGTTGCATCCATGTTTAATATCTCCATAACTTTAAAGGAAGCAAATAAAATGAGGTTTAAACTAAAGTACATAGAATCGTGACTCAAAACAAAAACAATATATCTGATAGTATGGGACAGAGGAAACAATTTATATAAGACAGTAAACATTCTACAGTATGTATGCCCCATTACACAAATGAGCACCAAAATAAGCTGTTGACGTTAAACACAAATGGTGTACTTATTACGAATTTCAGGTGTTTCGAGGGGCAATGAATTTCATAAAGGCAGCAGATTTATCATGTATAACATTGTAGTTACCGCAGAAAAAAAGAAATAGGATTAGGTAGTGGAAAGTAGAGTTAACAGATTATATGAAGAACATAACATCAAAATAATGAAGACGTGGATGTAATTAATGAAATACTTAGCTGGTTTCTTTCGGAACAGTGAATTATTGGTATTATTTTATCATACATATTCTATTAAACTAACATAATCAGTTTTAGAGTTTTATGTCCAGTCGTTTGACATAGGTTAGTAGTACCTTCAGTATAAGGTGGAAAGGCAACAAACAAACTATCGTGAAATTTTAGTACAAAGCCAAGAATTTACAGTGGTTTTAATAGCTCTTACACTAAATGATCCTGAGAAACACATCTGAGTGAACTACGAACGAAATGTAGCACGAAAGTAGATTAAAAGTAAACTGAAAACGTCTACCCAACGCCCGGAAGTCAGTCAGCAACAACGTAGAACTTTGTACGTACGTACATCAGTCCAAGTTGCAATACCACATTAGCACAGAGATTCAGTTATCGATTCAAATCCCATAGTGGTAGAGGTAGTAAAAGTATAAGCAGTAACCGGAAACATTAGGGTTTGAAGATGTTATTTAAGGAGTATAATCCAGTGAAGTAAATTTGGAAAGAGAAAAAAAGGGACATGAAGAACCCAGAGAGTGGATGCACCTGCGCCATTGCAAACGATTTTGAGCCATGTCATTCAAGGTCTCTAACCATCGGTTGCTATCATCTCGCGGTCCCCAACCAAGTAGTCTACATCTACCAACATGGCTCAGTTCACTTGTCAATGACTTCATGGATTTGTGCCATGTTTTGGTCTGGCCGCCCCTACCTTTCTTTCAACCTACTCCTACACCAGAAAACATCGCGCGTCGGTGGTCGGGCATGCGCAACACATGTCCCAGCCATCTCAACTGATTAAGTTTCACTACTTCATCAACTGATTTGCCATCCTTACCTAGTACCCGTTTCCTAACAACTGAGTTACTTACTCGGTGGTCCCAGGGTATACGAGCGATGTTTCGAAGACACCTATGATAGAATACTAGTAACTTACGAATATCCTCTACTCTTGCCGGCCATGTTTCACTGCCATGAAGTAGGACGGAACGAACTGCTGAGCAGTAAACACGTCCTTTGGTTGATAGACGGATATCTCGCCTACGCCATAAATGACGCAAGTTGGCAAAAGCTAGTCAAGCCTTCTGCATCCGTGCTGAGATTTCGTCACACACCAGACCACAAGAGCTGATGAGACTCCCGAGGTAAGTAGAGCGGTCGACTACTTTACTCCTTATCATTAGTTCAAGTGTCGATGCAACACAATCCTGAAGCAACATTTTGCATTTCGAGGGAGAAAATCGCATGCCGAACATGCTTGCATTGTTGCTTAGAGTGGTTAGCGGACTCTGCATTCTGTCAGCGTCTTCACCAAATAGAACTATGTCATCGGCATATTCTAAGTCAACAAGTGGATCTCCCGGTAGAAGTTCAACTCCTGGGAATTTAGATGAGGAAAGTGTTGTCTCTAAAAGCACGTCAACGACAAAGTTAAACAAGAATGGAGAGAGTGGACAGCCCTGACGAACACCACTTGAGGTAATCAGTTCTGATGACTGTTCGCCATAAGCTCTCACTCGGTCAGTTGTGTTCGAGTAGAGAGCCTGTATAAGGTTAATTTACCTCTTTGGTACTCCTTTCAGTGACAAACACTACCATAGAACCTCACGATCAACAGAATCAAACGCCGCCAAAAGATAGAGAAATACTACTATTGAGGGACGTCTGAATGTGTGTCTATGTTCTAGGATCTGACGTAGTGTGAATATCTGGTCTATACAGCTACTTCCAGGTCGAAAACCAGCCTGGTTTTTTCTAATCTGCTCTTCACGAGCTTCAATTAGGCGTCGAAGTATCATTGAAGCTGATATTTTACACATTATCATAGTCAAACTGATTCCTCTGTGATTGTCACAAGAGGACATAAGTCTTTCTTATAGACTGGCATAATTAGTGATTGAGATCAGTCACATGGGACCACGTCTTGTTCCCAGATTCTACCCAAGACCTCAATCAATTTCACTGCTAATACTGGACCGCCATCCTTAAAAATCTCAGGGGTAAACCTGTCAGGGCCTGGTGTTCTTCCTCGATTCAGAGTTGGAAGACTTACATCAACTTGCTATTTAGGTTGACTGGAGAGGTATTTTATTGAGGAACCTGAGAAGGAAGTTGGATTAGTGTCGGTCTTAACGACCTAGGAGTGACCGCAGAGCCCAAAGGGACAACTGCTCAAGACCGGTCACGCACGGCCCTTTTGTGGGAAATTTTTAACGTATTGGCTCTGTTTTTCAAAATGCCTTACCGCCGGAGACGGAAATCCGTGGGGTAAGGTGAGGTGTGACATTTTTAGGGTCAACCTTTTCTAACCCTGACTTCCTTGTGAGAAGGCAGCATTGTTGCGAATGCTGGTTGTCCGAGGGAAACACCTTACTGCTGCCACACCCCTCTACAGTCAGAAGTACGACTTAGCCCTCAGACCTTGAGTTGCAGCTTTTAGTCTTACCGTTCTCCAATCGACCTGCCTGGCATCGTAGAACTTATAGGAACACATATTGCAGCCAATATAGCTCGGTTGGGTCGTCACGATAGGCAAGCCCGACCACCACGTCAAGGTAGCAGCTACGGTCGGGAACGCCCGGAAGTGGGCAACAAGATTAAGAACTATAAATCCCAAGGATAATAGATAACATTATTAAACTTATCAGCGACGTGGCTCAAAAAGTTAATACTTAGTGAAACAATTCGGGATAAAGAGGACTCAACTGTCTACTGTTTGAAGCATTTTCACAAACTGGAAATATCGAGTGAAAAACGCTGTTACGCGTACGATATATGTTAAGTGTGTCGATGAGGTCATGAATTTTCATCGACTGGAGGTCGTGTTAACTATACCCAGCGATGTCCTACTTAGATGTGTATCCTGGTTAAAGAGCTGAAAATATAATATGAACACTTACGAGGAGATTGGCTGTCTGAAATTTTTGCTTCATTCAACAAACGATGTAAAGTTTGGCATGCAGTACTCAAATGAGTTCCAAGTGAAACAGTACTTTGTAACATAGGAGGAGGTGGTGTTTCAAGCATTCTGCTTGGAGTAAAGTAAGTACTACGATCGGAGTGATGATAGTGAGTAGCAATTTCAGCATTTAAATTTTCCATAACATCGGTTTGCATAGCAGCGTTTTCACGTAATGGTAGTAACCTTGCTTGAATTTCTTGATCCACCCCACTATTTGAGCACCCAGTAAGAGAGGTGTAGTCGCTCGACTGAACAGAGTTTTTGGCTGGCTTTAGTGATGAACAAGGGTGGTGTTCGTTGAGGGGACCATTTGTGATCTGTTTGGTCTCGTAAGACAACTTTCGTTCTTGTCTAACTTCGTAGTTATCTGAACATTACAAAAGCATAACAGTGAAGGAGACTTTCAAAGACTATCAAAACGATAAAATAAGGAAATATTATCTAATCAAACAGCACATTACTACCCCAACAGGGAAAAAGTTAAACACTTTCAGTCTAAACATAAATACACTGGGGATAGTTACTTTTAATGAACAGGTCTTTATAACAACTGTGCAACCGAGAAGTATGGATAATACAAACAAAACACAAAATAGTTTACATCACACATCAAATAAGTGGGGTGAGAACGCAAAACTGAACATTTATGAGAGTATAACACTGTGATACCATCAATTTTAACTTTTATAAAGAACCGTTTGTTATTAACTAGGTATTGATGGATTTGATCAGAACTTACCATATACTGTACTTGAGTGAGGAAGATTGGCTTCTACTGCAGCATTACAGAAGAGACCACCAATGAATGAACTGATGTCATCCTCATCGGTGGATGTGTTCACAGACACAAGTTCATGAGTCTGGAGTGTATGAGAGCATGGTTGTGATACATTGATCGGTGTGTATAACTGTTCAGTTTGTGTTGAAGCCTCCAAAGAATTGCTTATAGGGACTGTGTAAAGACTGCAGAAATTTCCTAAATCGGGTTTTAAAACCACTGACGTATCGCTCGAATTTATTGCAGATTCAGAGAGATTAACCTTAAAGTGCAGAAAGATATACAAAAATTTAATTTAATAAAGTGGATTAACAATAGTAACTGAAACATTTGAACTTCATGTCAGTACTTAAAGCTGAAATAACGTTACTCCTAATAAAGCCCCTCTAAACATTATGATAGTTCTAAATCACTACATGAAAAAAGTTTGTGGTTTTACTAGAACAGGACACTACCATAGATGACTGGAAAAGTATTAAAAGACAGTAAGTTTAACACAACAGCAGTAACTGGGCTCCAAAAAGCACCTGAATAAAGAATAGATAACTTTATTGATGATGCCCCACCAACAACAGAAGAAATTAGTAGCTATCAGACAAACTAAGTGTGGGAACGTAGCATGACCAAACGGAATGTCGACTGATGTACCAAAGTCAAATATAGAGCTAACTACGAAGATGCTAAACATCCTCTTCAGAAAGATTTGGGAGGGAGAACAAGTACTGACGGACTGGGAGGAAGGATGCTTTACCAAGATGCCGAAGAAAGATTCCAGTGAGAGAACTATAGAGATGTTACACTACTATCAGTATCAAATACAGTCTCCAACAGTGTCGTTGAACCGAGTGAGAGATCTAGCAGACGCTCAACTGGGTTTCGTAAGGATCGAACATGTACCGACCAAGTTGAGACACTATGGAACATTATTGAACAATCAACTGAATGGAACTCATTTATACATCTATACATCTACTTCTTTGACTATAAGAAATATTTTATACAAGTGAGAATTAGTTAAGAATTCCCTACAATACGAAACGTGTGTATCCCTAGAATTTTGATAGTTTGACAGCAAAAGGGTACAATAAAAAGCATCAAGTAATTTATATCTTACCTGGACATTTGGATTAGGAAAGATTTGTGTTGAAAGTGTACGAAGAGCTGAAAGAGCATTTGTACATAAAAAGTTCATATTCAAACACCCCAAAACATTGCTGCTTATATTTTCTACGTTCACATCACTTACGTTAGGTACAGTAACTGGTAAAATGAGAAGTGGAAGAACTAATGGTCCACATGATTCACTAGGAGGGATAGGATTACGCGTAACATACGAGCTTGAAATTGACGTATTCTTCGAAGGCGATCTGTTTGGAGTATTTTCGACTTTAGGAATAGAATTAAGAGATAAAGTGTTACTGTGCCCACTTCTTCGGTAATGCTGAAGTAAGTGCTTTTTACTTGAATAAGACCTGAAACAAACTGAACAAGAATATGTTGCTCCACATAGTTTTTGATGATAAGCATGATATGAGGGAGTAGGGAAGAAATGTTTACATTTGTCACACTGGTAACTTTTGTGCATATGAACATGCTGGTAATGCTATGATATAAGAACATATTAATCAATAATCTCAGAGCACCTGTTTTAATCTCCAGTAAGTGCTGAATCCACCGCCTAAACCAATATTGTGTTTACATGTAGCCACAGGGCAATGATAGATATAACTAACATTATACCTTTGCTTGGAATAAAACGCTACATCTTTTGCATTCTGAAATAACAATACACATTAGCAGATACAGACTAATATTTTACCTTCATGATCTTATGAGTTTTAATCTGATGAGCCCGTAAGTTAGCTTTTGTTTTCACTTTGATTCCGCATAACTCGCAAATATAAGTTGGTAATGGTAATTCTGTTAGTTCTGATTCTGAAATAACTACATGCAGAACGCTCGATTCTCTAAGAGGAAAATTGTTGACTTTTTGGTCTTTGTCCTTAGATTCCGAAGGGAAAGAACGATAAACCTCACATGTCCCCATAATCTAACAGAGTAACAGAACAGCAACGACCACAAGTTAGGAGTCATAAATTGATTTACCATAGTTTATCTTAGGTGATCACTTAATTTTTTAGTGTGAACAAGACTACGAGCTTCCTCAAGCCAGAGAGAATATAAGTAGGCAAACTTCTACAAATGTCAGTTAGCAGTTATTCACACGATGTTATTATCCCTTCTCAATCAAGTTCAATATTAGTAGAATAAAGGTCTTTGCAACACAATTAAATAATAGGTGATCAAATGATAGGCAGAAGGGGTGAGTAAACGATTTATTCACCTTCCTGTATGCAAAGATTCTTACAAATGTACATCCATCTCTTCAAAGCAGAAACTAAAGGAACACTGAAGATGAATGAAACTCAGGATGATATTATGAAGTAAATATCAACTAAGTAGGTTGGCTTGCCAAGCTTTGAGTGGTAGCCATGCAAGAGCTACGGAAAAACCATACACCAGGGGCTAATGAGAAGAGTTGCCATCTTATGTTGCTATATTTCTTATTATCACGGAAACCGTACGAGTGCTTATAGACGACTATTCACACAAGATGCTCACGACCCAGTGCCCAGAGACCATCAGTTATAATCTGCTTTAGCAGGGAAAAACTTAGCTTCTAGTTGAGAGGGGAAACTAGAGAAAAACTCTGAAGGTGGATATGACTAAAGATGCTATTGAACTACGTCACAAAACAAGACCCGACATAGAATCCTCAAGACAGAATAAAAATATAAAGACCACAAAATATGTGAAAATGAGAACCAAAGACAAATATCAAGACCATGAATAGCATTTGGCTACAACTCTGAAGGAAAGCCCAGGATGTAGTTAGTTAGGGATCGCTGGTTGATGGCCTAAGCCATATGAAGAGTTAATACTTGAGGCGACCTCTAGCTAACCTGGAAGTGAAACATACCTCCCGTTCTGCTGAATTCAAAGAGGCTTTCCACAGCACTATATGTAAGAACTCCAAACCCAATGTATCTTCACTTGACTTACTCAAAACCGAACTAGCACTTACCTGCATATATTAAGACCACTATGATGAAAAGGGAGAAGCGTCGCACTATTTTTTCACGACGGACGAAAAAGGAGACTTCGTAGTCAACTTTTATTAAACCCTACCCGTCTTAAGGAATGCTCTTATCATCCCTTTTGAGTATCCTTAGGCAATTCATCGAACTTACAATCGTAAGGCCCCAAGATCGACTCGAATGACAAGAAAACAAGGTACAAACCTAGTAAAATCGGGAAATTATAGGCTTTCTTCATTCATATTAAACCGGAAATTTATAAATTAAAGCTATGTTTCACAATTCACCATAAGTCTCCGTATAATGTACACAGACTTGAAATAATCATTAACAATAACGTGACATTATCATAATTTTAGTCTATTTCTCCTAGCGGACCATAAGCTAAGTAGGGTATAATTCAGTACAGAAGTGACGTACTGAGAGTCGACCAGGAATATTTTGAGCTGACCGCTTGTAAACAAACAGCAGTAAATTCCGGTAATATTCTTGTCAGGGTAATATGTACACTATTTGTTTGACCTGATTGAGTATGGTGTAGCGGTAAAAAAATCCCCAAAATAAATAGCTCTGTAAATTTTCGACATCGGATGCTAACCTTATTAGTTTTAATGGTCTCATCTAGCTGAAGGTGCTCGATCATGCATCCGCACCAGATCACGTGTGAGAACACCGTGCTCAACATCTACTGCAATCGCTAGCCAGATTAGTTCAGACGATCCTCGATATATTGATAAATTATCAAATATATCTTCGAACCTCCTCGCTTCTGTCTTTTGATTTCACTTCGTGGGTACGCTTCATATTAGAAGGTGTTACTGGTTAAAGCGCAGTCAAACTCCGAATACCTGAGGCATTTTCATTGTTGAACTCGACGTGATCTGGTCCACCAAATTGCAAACTGTGAGTCTGCTCCTTTTTGGGATTTTATATATCATTGCCTTATTTTAATTTTTTATACATTGTGATATTTTTTCGTGTTTTTGGACATATATATATATATATATATTTCCCACTCGTCCATTCCCGTACTTGATATTTCACTGTGACTGAATAGACACCTAAGGTATTTAAGTTAAAGACTGTGTCTCCACCTTCGTTCCAACTAATGCCCTTCTGGCCAGACAGTATCGAAGCCAATTTCTGCGAGCATGGCGTGAACGACACACGTGCGCAATCCCTCGCAGTAGTCAAGCCACTACTGCGAGAATTCAACAGGTACGTAACACCTACTATGTTTACTAGTGATGTTTCTGAACAATACGAAACTCTTAAACGATCCGTCCTTAAACGCGGAGATCTAACCGATCGACAAAGGTTAGACCAACTCCTTAACAACGTCGACCTGCAACACGATTCTGCCACAGACATTTTGCAAAGAATGAGGGTGGTGATTAGCCAAAGAACTTTTGACGATGACCTATTCAGATATTTCTTATCTAAACTTCCTCAACAGGTGCAAGTTGTGTTGATCTCGTTTCAAAACAATGCCATAGATAAGCTGGCTGCATCTGCCGACCGCATCCTTGAAATCACTAAATCTTCTAATGCCGAGGTTTGTTCAGTCAAAGAAAAGCCTCAAACGACCCAGAATGACATAACAGAGTTTTGTCATACACTTACGCGTTATCTTAAACTTCGTAACGACCGTAAAAGGTCACACACCCCGCGTGGGCGATCTGTCTCTATCCTCGAGAGACGGATAACCCTAACTGATGCTGTTATCATAACCAGTATGGAAAGTCCTCCAGAAATTGCAGAAAATCCTGCAATTTTCCCAACTCAAAATCGATCGACACGAAAAACGTTTCGGGAAACTTCCAAGCTGGCACGCGTTAACGGCAACCGTAACCGGCGAACATAGCCATCTGTTATATGTCACAGATGTGATAACGAGAGTTCGCTACCTCGTCAATACTGGCGCAGAAGTTGGCGTTCTCTGAACGAACTCCAACGACCGGCTTCACGAATCGGTTTTAAATCTAAGGGCCGCAAACTGAAAGCCTATCGCCACGTATGGCAAAAGATACGTTTATCTTAACATGAGTTTTTCGTGCCTCTAGGTAACCCTCGTGTTATTAATAGAGGAAACCAGACTAGTAGGAAAACAGGTCTTTATTTTGATCTTCGCGCGATCACAGTGGAGCGTGGGATTCCTTATTCAGACAAACAAAACCTCTCAACATACAATATAAGATAATGGGAAATATAACACCTAAACAAAATAAAGAAGTGAACAAACATCTGAACTATGCTGTTTTTGACATATGATTAGTTGCTTGAGATCAACTCTTGACCAATCAACATAAGCTGTTACATTAGCTTCCCCCTAGAATCGACCTCCGTAGGAACGTCGGTTCGATAACCTATCTACCAAAAGCATTTTAGTTCTGTTTCCGCAGCACAAGGGAGAATTATCAACTCGCTCACTGTGACTTCAAATCAATGACGACTAATTCCGTCGATAATCAACGATAGTCCGTGGATGTCTCTTCATTCACCGGCTTGTCATCTTATTTTGTAGCATGCAATTTCTACCACAACTATCGCTGACGGTTTGTTACTTGCTCGCAAGAGAAAGAGTGTGAGAAAATGGAACAAGAATGTCTGAGGAAGTGCCGCGAGCGGGCTACTCAACACCATGTTGGTGAGGTACGATTTCTCCATTCTCTGTCCGGCTATCAGGTGTTTACTCACCTGCCTCTTGAGTCGCCCTCAAGTAAAAAGCAAAGAAGAGTCTATTTCAAAGGTAATGATGAAAATCAATAAAACCTGAAGAACTGCTCCACTGCCTGCATAAAATAATAAAATACAAAATGGAAATACATAAATATAATTAATAATTGTTCGGTTCCACGTGTTTTGCCTCCAGAAAGGATTGGTCATCTAAACATTAAAAAAATGATAATGAGAACCTCAATAAGTACTTGACCATGGTTTGATCTGGGTTGCTTTTTGAATTCACCGTTACTGTCAGGGTAAGTTGTGTAGGTTCATAATACATGCTCACTAGGAATTTGTTCAACGTTTCCTTCCAGCTTTTTTAATTGTTTACTATTATCGGTAAAATCTAAGAAATTGTTTAGTTCAACAGGCGCAGCTTGTTTACATCACTCACCTTAGTTGGAGATTCGTCGTTCTCTAGTGTGACTTACCCCTCTTTATGATTTCGACTGATATCACTCAGCAATTGTTTAGGAATACCTAGCGCGTTTTTAAAAAAGATTTAACACACACATAAATCAATAGTAAAAGATCTGGGGAGTTGTGGATAGCATGACATCGCAAACTACATTTTTTGAATGATTTTGTTAGTTAAATAAAATAGGTGGGACGTTGTGAGAAAAAAATTTATTTTTAAATAAACGCAGGATCTTACTAGATACGTGGTTAGATTTTATTCTGCAGCCAAAACTGTCAATATTCTTGACTGACTAATTGGATGTGTCCATCTAACCGTTTTGGTCACTTGTAAAGATTTACCGTCTTTACATGTCGATTCCGCAATTGTTTTGTCAGGTGAGCGGTCTAACAACACTTAAGGTGGTTCATGATCGAGATAAACTGGTTTTAACCTATCAATACTTACGGAATCCGTGTTTCCATGTCTTTCTATCATGAAATATTTATCTTTTCTTGAGACGACTTCGAAAGGACCTTCAAATGGAGGGCTAAGCGGTGATTTTATTTTGTCACATCTTATGCAGACGTGCGTGCAATTACTTAGATCTTTAGGTATATATATGGCTCGCGATTGTTCACGAGTATTAATTGGCTTAAGTTTGGACATGTGGTCCCGTAGTTGATCTACGTAATTTTCCAAATTAAGTTTTTGACTGTTAGTATTAGGGTTAATAAATTCACCTGGTAGTCTCAGAGTTGTTCTGAAAACCATTTCCGCTGCTGAACACTTTGCGTCAGTTTTGACAGATGTTCGTATTCCCAACATAAC